AAGTCTAATAAACCCTTTTTCTATTTCTTTTTAAACTTGAATTGGTCCAAACACTATGACTGTCAGGTCTCGGGTGAACTTGCTAGGTCTTTTCGAGTTTTATAATTAGAGTTATTATAATATTATTAATTTCAACACTCAATATAAACTGGAAAAAAAAATATTGAATTATTTTTTAAATATATAAATGTGACAACAATACATATTAAATATAAAATAAATTATTTTATATTCTATTTTGTTTTATCTATCATAATCAAATAAAATACAAAAATAATTACTTTATCTTATATATTACTATCCAATAAAATTCTATCTCAATATTTTTTTATACCTTGTCTCTTCTATTTTTTCTACCTCAAAACAGTAATCATACACCACCCATATAAACCACTGTCCATATGCATTGCTCTAAGTCTATTATATAAATATGGCCACTCTATAGAATTTTAAAACTTATATTTGGTCATCAAAGCCACTTAAAAAAATTAGTATATTGATAACAACATAATTATTAAATTTGATATAGTATACCAAATTTATTTAATAAATTTATAATTTTGAACTTGATTTAAAAATAATTTTAATATTTATTTTTATTAAATTCAACTAATTTAATAACTTAACTAGTAATTTAGTCGACTTGAGAACTCATTAATTAATTTAACAATTTTATAACCCAAACTATTTATTAAGGTACACCCTCAAATCGGTCTGACAGTTTTTTAATTACTGCAGTTATTTTTATCTTTTATAATACTCAAAATTTATTAAGTTAAGATACCATTTACTAGTTTTGAATTGATAAATCAAAGTAGCCAAACACCTCCCAATATATCTCTACCTCTGCGTCTGGTCTCGTAAAACCTTCCTAAAAATCCTACCCCTCGTACCTCCTCTCTCAGATCAACCAACCAAATGAAGCGAAGATTTTTCAAATTCTCAGACGCAGAGCTTATCTGCCTCCGAAGACCTTCCCCTTCCCCGACTCCCAGAACCATCACCACTTCTCCTTCCTCTTCAATCCTCGCCAAGCACCCTTTTTACAGATTTTTCCAATCTTCACCCCCCTCCGCCTCCGCCTCCGCCTCCGCGGAACACCTCATTTCCAACGTGATCGGACTTTTCGTACACAAGCTCACTATTAATGATAATAGTAGCAGTAATAACAATAATAACAACATCAAATCCAAGGAGAGGAAGGATCCGACCAACAAGATTTCTCCTCTGAGGAACAATAATAACGACCTCAAATCCAAGAAGAGGGAGGATCTGGTCAACAAGATTTCTTCTTTGAGGGACGAGCTGCTTCAAAATGTTGACATGGTTTTTCAGATTTTGGAAGAGACGAAAAAAGACGACCCCTCCTTGTTAACCAATTCGTCCGCTTTTCTTGAGCTTTTGAAGCTCTTGCTTCTTTCTTCCCCTAAAGTAGCCCTCAAGGTGTGTTGCCTTTTGCTTCCATTTATTTATCTAGTTATTTCTGAATGAATTTTACTTCTAATTTGTTTTTTGTATGATTTGGAATTGTTATCTATCTGTGCTGTTGTCGATTTTGACATTCAACGTTCTTCTGTTATTTATCTTTGCTTTTGCTATCTTTTATCTCCTCTGTCGATCCATTTAAAGCAAAATGAACAGCATGACTGAAGCAAGCTAGTTTACTATGATGGGTCCAATCTCATGTTGGTGTAGACATTTTTTTTTACACTGCTGTCTTGGGAAAAGGATTGCTGTTTTTCTTCTTCTTCTTTTTCCTTTTCTTAGTGTGGAATTTGTGTAAATAATTTTTACGCAGATTTTTAATTGGAAAAGAACGCAAGCTGAGAACGATACTCCTATGACAGCAGCGGAGTATGCCAAGGGTATTATGATTGCGGGTACAGATAAGAACGTGGATCTTGCAGTTGAGATATTTGATGAGGCTATAAAAAAGTGCATTAAGACGACCAGCATGTATAATGCACTGATGAGTACATATATGCGTAATGGTTTTGCTGGTAAATGTGAATCATTGTTTCGGGAGATGAAAAGGGACGTAAAGTGTAGACCTTCAGTTGTAACATATAACATTCTTGTATCAGTCTTTGGCCGCTTGATGCTGGTTGATAAAATGGAGGCAATATTCAAGGAGATGGAGGATTCACGTATTTCACCAAACTTGACAACATACAACAATTTAATTAGTGGTTACTTGACTGCTTGGATGTGGGATAGTATGGAAAAAACTTTTCAAATGATGAATGCAGGCCCAGTTAAGCCAGATCTTAACACCCACCTGCTAATGTTGCGAGGATATGCTCATTCTGGGAATCTGGAACAGATGGAACTGGTGTATGAATTGATAAAAGACCATGTTAATGCCAGGATACCAACACTGATTAGGGCCATGATCTGTGCCTATTGCAAGAGTTCTATACCAGAAAGAGTTCAAAAGATTGAGGCACTGATGAGGCTGATTCCAGAAAAGGAATATAGACCTTGGTTGAATTTTTTGTTGATTAAGCTTTATGCTGAAGAAGATAGGCTAGAGGAGATGGAGAACTCAATAAATGAGGCATTTAATCATAGAACCATTGTATCAACTGTAAGCATTATGCATGCTATTATCACAAGTTATTTCAGATGCAATGCTGTTGATAAGCTGACAGATTTTATAAAACGTGCAACATATGCTCGGTGGAGAATAATCCGGCCTCTATTTCACTGTAAAATGGTCATGTATGGAAAACAAAAGCGCTTGGATGAAATGGAAAGTGTTCTTATTCAGATGGAGAATTGCAACTTGCTCCGCACAAAAAAGACATTTTGGATATTGTATAAAGCCTACTTGAATTGTGGTCAATGGTATAAGGTTGAGCAAGTAGCAGGATTGATGTGCAAGCATGGATATGGAAATCCTTTTGATACATCTCCATTGCAATGCACCCTGTTGAAGAGTTAGCTATCATGCATCACAAATTCTGGAAGACATTCAATGGATTGCATGAATGGTTCATGCAACTATCAATCAAATTGAAACTCCACTGATTTGCAGGTCTGCGTGTTCCCTACCTGGCTCTCGTTCACTTAACTTATACATATGATGTATTTAGTAGTTTGAAATCCTTCAGGGGTAGCATTCATTCATTGTTTGCAAAGTTTCTCGTATCATACCATGTTTTCCCTATGTTGCTGGTGTTCTTCTATACTACATATTATATATTTAGTAGTTTGAAATCCTTCAGGGGTAGCATTCATTCATTGTTTGCAAAGTTTCTCGTATCATACCATGTTTTCCCTATGTTGCTGGTGTTCTTCTATGCTATAAAACTTAATTACGGTCTTGATGATTGAATTCCTTGCTGCTTTATGTGGCATGTTACTTAATGATTTTTGTTAGTTCCATTTCTTTTTCTACGTGGTCATTCCCCTTTCTTCCCTCCTTTTAATCAACCATGTTAGCGATTAATTTGATGCCTGCTGTTATCTACTCAACACTAATGCCTGCTCATCACATCCCAACCTATTAGCAGTGCAGCTGATCTATTTCTGGGACAAGGCATGCGGCCATTTTCACAGCCTAAAATGCTTTTGATATGTTCTTGTGGAAGAAACATGAAGGTGATGGAAAGTCCTCCAACCATGGTGGTCTATGATTTCTGGTTTCCTTTCTGGAACTTCAAGTCCAGTTTGCACAGGCCAATTCGATGTTGTCAGAACAAGGCTGATGGTTCAAAGCCGAGAAGGGGATGAATTGAAATGCAAAGGCTTAGTTCATGCTATCACAACAATATATGCCGGGGAGGGGTGTCTTGCCTTGTGGAAAGGGATCGCTGCCTAGGCTTATGAGAATACCACCTGATCAGGCCATTATGTGAGCTTTACCTGGCAAAACTACTGGTCTTTATGAGAGGAGATATCCAGACAATGCATCTTTGATGATATTGCTTGTATCGTTTTGTTTTATCTAGTTTTGAAGTCCACTGCGAGCATAAATTCATAAATTCCTAACTTCTCCTTCTTGAGTTAGTTTGGCTTTTCTAAATGAAATGTGCTTAGGATACATTATCAACAATTTGAAGTGCTTGGGGATAACGGAGAGTCATGCAAAGCGCTTCTAAGTTTAACAAAATCTTTTAGCCTGATGATCATGGTGGCACCTATCTGTATCTTTTGGCTAAATTGTTTTATACTTCTTGTTTATTTTTGTGTTTCAAAAATATCTTAAAAAAGATTTAAATTTTTTTATTTTTTTGTTTTAAATTAATATGTTTTTGGTATTTTTAAATTATTTTGATGTTATAATATCAAAAATATTTTTTTTTTTAAAAAAATATTTGATACATTTCTATATAAAAAATATTTTGAAAAGTAATTATAATTACATTTATAAATAAATAAGAAAGGGAAGTTCTTAAATAGGTAAGGAAGGGAAGTTTCAGTTTTGGTGAGGGCATTCCATTTTTATGCTGCGTTAGAAGCTATTGTGTCCCTTTTACATGTCATGTTGGGAACACCCATATGCAACCTTCCCTGCTTTATAAACTCTCAGAAGTATCTTGGCTTGATAATGAGATCGTAAGCTTTCTTTTTACTCATTTGAAAAAGGAAATGTGTGAGTTGTTTGCTTGAGGTCACCCTTAGCTGCAACTTGTCGTGGCCATGAGCCCATAACCTTGTAAAATTCTATTGTCGTTTTACCAATAAACGAGATTGTAGTTTCATGGTATTCCTGCAGAGCTTGCAAGAAAGGTAACGGGAGTTCGCACTCCATACTTGTCAGTTAAGCTATTGTATTAACCCTTTGTTAAAACTTTCTGCCAATTTCATGTAATTTGAGCATGCTATATGCAATCAAATTCATAAATCTATCCTGGTCCTGTTTATTTTTCTATTTTAAAAGTGTTGTTGAAAAAAGTCGATTTTTTGTAAAATTAATATTTTTTAATGTTTTTAAATTATTTTGATAAAATGATATTAAAAATAATTTTAAAAAATAAAAAAAATACTATAAAAAATAAATATTATTATATTATTGAATATATATCTTCTATGCCACTCCATCGATCACATCGGCATTACAAAGTGATAAGAGTGGCCTTATGGACGTCTAGCTATCATGCAATCGTGTAATTTAATTAGGAGTTGTGGAGGAAACCGAGTTCCCCTTTTCCTTGGTCGCCAGTTGCAACTATGTCATCAAATAAGCTCGAGTATTTTCTAGATTGCAATGAGAGTAGTCGTCCTTGAAAATTTTAACTTCATTTGTGTTCCCCAACCCTAAATAAATGAAGATAAGTGTTTGGCTCAATGAGCCTTGAGATAGGCAATAACAACATATCTTTCTATTTTTAAATTCCACATCTGATATCCATTACTTTTAATATGATTTGAGTAAATTGATTTATATTATTTTTTAACTTTTGATTTATAGAAACGTTATAAATATTTTCATTAGAAACAATTTTGAACTTAGAATCAAAAGTCTTTGGGTAAAAATATTGTTTTAATAAAAAAGTTAAATTTTTAATTTTTACCTAGGAAATTTGTAACAAGGAAATTTCACATCACATTTAAATATATCAATTAGTCATATTCATGTAAATTAGCCTAATTGTTTTTTTTTAATTACCTAATTGGTTATCGGAAATGGCAATGGGGTATGACTTAATTTGGTCTTCTAAAATTGCCTAATTTTAAAAGATTAAATTTAATTTTTACCAAGTCAATTGGTTCAAATCAGGGTTAAATTACAAGAAAATCAAAGTTTTTTGGTCAATTAAGGGTTAAATTGAAGAAATTCATAGTCAATAACCATTTTGCAAAAAACATCGAACTATGAGGACTCAATTGATTGAATTAGGGGTGAAATTGAAGAGATTTAAAAGTTTAATAGTCAATTAGAGACTAAATTAAAGAAATCCAAGATTAAGCACCAAAATGAAAGGGCACTGAAATTCAAGGTTGAAATTGAAGTTCATCAGGATCAAAATTGCATAAAATTGAAAGTTTATGGTTAATTAGGGGTGTAATTAAGAGAAATCACAATTCAAATGACTAAATTAAACTTTACCAAAATGATGCCATTTTGGTTATTGTTCATCTTCTTTTTCAATTTTCACCGAAAAGATTGCTCATGGGCATTTAATGTTTCATCTTTCTATCAAATTTGATAAAATTTGCATCAAAATAATAACATAATATCTTACTACACCCTGGTATGGTCTTTTCTGGCTGATTGACACCAAATCGATCGTGGCGCCGACTCAAAAAGGCCAACTTAGACATTCTTCAATAGCTAAAATTGATTGTTCACGATACACATTTTGAGTCAACGGTTAAGATTCTTCAATGCTAATCAAGGGCAAAGATTTGATACTATTAAAGATAAAATATTCATCTTCTACCCTCTATAAATAATTAATAATAAACTAGTCTCCCACCTCTAATTATTCTCACCAACCAACCTTTCTTCTCTCTCAGTTGTTTTTTTTCAGTCACTGCCATCATGACCGCCATCTTCTCCTCCAACGAGTGGCAGCCTCCACCACTATGCACTGCCAGCAACACCCTTTAGCCATGTTACCCTTTTTTTATTATTATTATTCTTCCTCATGTCTCAATTGTTGCATGCAAAATGAATTTTACATGCAACAACTAAATTAATTAACACCGATGCTAAGCTAAGCTAGTGACCATATGGGTCGAGGCCGGACCTATTTTGACCTAGCCCAAGCCCCTTAAAAAATAGAGGGCAGGTTTGATGGGTCGTTGTCAGCCTAACCTAACCTGGCTAGGTTCAGCCCAAATGTCTAGGCCGGTCAAACCCAATATAATAATATTATAAATAAATAAAACAAAAAAAATCAAAAGCCCTTTCAAAAAATTTATGATCTTATCGCATGTTTTTCTATCAATTTTGCATAATATCGAATTAATAATAAGATACAGATTTGGTATTAAAAATACTCAGTTTTCTTTAAAAAAAATTTCATTTCAAAACCAACAAAAAATATTTTATTTTTATGCATTATGCCAAATCCTAAAAGTTTTCTAAGCATACTTTTTATAGAACAAACAAAAATATTGTTTTCTCATCTTTTAAAATGAAAAAAAAGGTATTATAACTACTTTATGATTATCTATTAGGATTTGGTCAAATTTTAAAAGTTTTATAAGCATGCTTTTTATAAAACAAACAAGAATGTATTTTTCTCATGTTTTTAAATAAAAAAGGGTATTGTAATTAATTTATGATTATATGTTAAGATTTGACCAAAATGTCAAAAATCCTTTGTCAATCATTTTGTTTATTTTATATTTAAAGTGTTAGGGTTTAACTATAGACTTTAATATTTAAGGGATAAAACTATATAGTAGAATATGCCATAAAGTATTAAAGGTACAAAGAAATAAATGATGCTAAAATTTAGATCTCAGAATGTTTAAGATTTAACCTAATAAGATAGAAATTTTTTCATAAAAAGAGATTTACTTCAAACTTTAGACAAGATCAATGGATAAAAACATGATCTAAAAAATAATCAAACAACAATGCAGCTTACCTTGGGTAGGGTGCACTAAGGGTCATGTGTTTTTTCTCTGCATAATCAATCTCTTACCCGAGCTCTTGCAGACCATAGGTTTTCCAATAATCTTAATACTAGATGACGACTCTTAAAACTTATAATCATAATTTATTGATTAAATTCAAAATCCTTTCCTTTCAACACCTCACCTTTTATGAGATAGACTTGCCACTATTGCTTGATAGCGCATACGCATGTATAATCATAATTTATTGATTAAATTCAAAACCCTTTCCTTTCAACACCTCATCTTTTATGAGACAGACTTGCTACTATTGCTTGATGGCGCACACGCACGAGGCGCCACAATAATTTTGAGATTTTTTTCATGTAAGAAAACTTTGAAATTGTGTTTTAAGGGTCCAAAAATTGGACCTTATTTTTTAGATCACCGAAGGTGATTGAAAAATGTAATAGTAAGTGACATATCGCTCACCTCTACAAGCAACCTCTCACCTGATTTTTTTAAGAAAAGAGAAAAATAAGATCGGACACGTTATCCATGCCTACTTAAGAAAACAAACAGGCACGCTCAAGCTTTTGTATTTAGGTTAGCATTGGGCCTCACCTATCAATGCCTAACCTTTTTCTTTTCTTTTTCTTTTAATTTTTATTAATTGTTTCCATTTAAATTGTGTTCGATGCCCACTCTCTCCTTCCTTACACAAATTGAATTAATTTTGTTTTTTAGATAATGGTTGACTTTTTATATTTTTTTTGGTTGCATAATATTTTAAAGATATTATTTTGATTTTCCATGAGTTTGTTTAGTCTTGTATTTTATAGGAATGAGTTGTATTTGAACGAAGCTTTTACAAAAACAAAAATAATTTGTTATGATCAACAACAATTACTCGCCAAGATAAAATGAATTAAAACACTTCAAATAAAAAGGATAGTGACTGTAAAATACATGTACATTTATTTTTTATTTCTACTAGGAAGATTAACTTTATGTATTAATATTTAATTAGTGTTAACAATTTTTTGAAAATTTATTAGTTTATATTTTACTTAATTTAGTATATAAAGCATAAACAGTTTTTTTTATCACTTAATTAAATGATACATTAAAAGATATTCATAACATAATTATTTTATTCCTTTTATGTTATAAATTAACTTAAAACCTCATTGGCAGTGTAGTGCAAACAAATTATTTTTATATTTTTTAATTAGCATCAACAATTTTTTTTTATAATTTATCAATATATATTTTTATAATTTATAATTTATTTTTTAAAAAATATAAATAGTATCTTTGTGTTTTTTATTTTAAAAAATCATAATATAATAAAACATTTATAACATTAACACATTTTTTAAGTTAAAATTTAATTTGAAATCCTAAGCGCGACATAGTGTTGGTTTCTAAAGTAGTGTAATATGCGAATTTACAATAGTTTCATCTTTGAATAGTTTTTTCTTTTTTGGGAAATAAATAACCAGAAACATATGAGCATATGCAAATAATTTGGGAAAT